TGGAGCATGCCAACATAAACAAAAATACCATACATAAATATGTTAGATAGCGGCATTTTCTAATTTTGTTATGTAACGGACAAAAACTCGATACTCGGAAATCTGTACTAGACCTAACAGCAACATTTAAAAAAAAACAATGGTGATGTGTGGAAGAAAATGATTCAGTTGATCAAAATTAAAAATAAGAGTGAGACTGAAGGCAAAAGTTTGCAATGGAGTTTGGTTTTAATTAGTTTACTGTCACTAAAGGCCTCTTTGAAAGTCTGTAGATGAAACTTCTACAATTAATATTTTTTTCCCTTTTTTTCAGTCTGATGTTTGGGCATTAGGTTGCTGTGTTTATGAAATGGCTACACTGAAACATGCCTTTAATGCTAAGGACATGAACTCTTTGGTTTATCGAATTATTGAAGGAAAGGTAAAAACTTCTAACTTTTTTTCTATCTGTGCTTGGATTTTCTGTCTAGAACTTGAGATTATCTTCTGCAATCAAAAATATTTTGCGTGGTACATGCATCACCATCTATATTGTAAGCCTGGTATTTCATGGTTGTGTATCGTGTTGTATCAAACCCAGGGAGTTACTAATTTAGTATCTGGCTTGCTTTGGCACGTAGTGAAGTTAATATGGATATATTTTGTATAAATTTGTAAGCCTATTCACAGAACTTTAGCTGCTGATAGTAATAAAAAATTATGAACAGTTCTTAGACAGAACACTTAGAATTTGTATGTTCTGTTTGATGTTAAGCACTTGGGTAACTTATGTAGCTGAATGTAACTATCATGCATAAATAATTTGGCAGTGGCCTCTATTCTCAAAAATGTTAAATGATATCGAACTTCCCTTTCCTTTTACAGTTGCCACCTATGCCAAAGGATTACAGCCCACAGTTGGTAGAAATAATACGAACTATGCTCAGTAAAAAACCTGAGGAAAGACCTAGTGTGAAAAGCATACTACGACAACCATATATCAAGCATCAAATTTCTTTGTTTTTGGAAGCCACGAAGGCGTAAGATACTTTCATTTGAGTGATTCTACACAAAATATTCGTATTACTGTGGTGTTTTAACCACTTTTCCTGTTTGGTTTTTTTTTTTTTTTTTTTGTAGCAGGATAAAATTAGTTTTGTTATGCACAGTTACAAAGCATATGAACATAGGAATTTATTTAGATTCCTTGAGAGATTTGAGAGAATTAGAATGGAACCTTTTTTCTGCAAATGCAGTGTAAAACTGTGCAATGATTAGGATTGCACAGCTTATTCAGAGAGCTAAAAGAAACCCAAATAAAGTATTTTCAAGGAAATATACATCTTTCCATATGGTTCTTTTGAGGACATGTATCAACTGAGACTTGGAATACCAAGTTTTGTTTGATATTCACTGATATAATTACTTTTATTTGTCAGCATTAGTCAATTATTTTAGTGCTTCCAGATAGGACTAGTTTGCTACTATGCAGAGCAAGCGTACAGTGTACATTGCTGGCAGAGTGTAAATTTTGTTTTTAAGATCCTTTTGTACAGGTGAAAATGAGTATGTTGTGCACATGAAAAAGCCCAGTATCTTATGTAAGAGATATCTTTCTGAATGTAAGCTGGTTAGTGGAATGGATTTTTCGAATTAATATAATCTAATGAAATATCTTAAGGTCTTGTAGCCCATTCAATCACCACCAACTTTTATTTTCTTTGTAGGAAAGCAGCCAAAAATCAGAAGAAAACAGTGAATTCTAAACCTAAAGATCCTTGTTCTGTGGTCTCAGTAAAGACTGAATCTCACAGCCAGAATGTTACACACCAAAAGCACTCCGTTGAGCAAGCCAGGAAATACAAAGTTGTGAGTTCTATGTTTGCGTTGTTAAAACAAACAAACAAACCACAAACAAACAAAAAACCCCAAACACCAAACCCACTTGCTTTTTCTAGAGGAAAAATTCGGTTTTATAAGAAGTGCCTTGAGCATTCCTGAGAAGACAGACCTGATTCCTAGCAATGTATTGACGTTGTAGCAACATATTAAGGAAGGAATGGTGTTTAAGCAGGAGTGGAAGTAAATAAATAGCTGTGGGTCAGTAAAACCTAATTGCAATACCTTAACTATAAGATTTGAACTAAACATCTAGTTTTGCATTTGTGGGTCACTATATGAATTACTTGTGGAGTACTGAGGTCAAGTATTTTTTCAAATATTTGATGACAAGTGGTAGTAATTTTTAATATATGCTTTAGACTGGAAAAAAGTAATTATAGTTACAACCAAAAACTGTTTATTGTTGGAACTGAACAAATCTTTTGTAATGGTGAATCTTGTGCATGTTTATTTTCTGTAATGAGTCTGCTATTCAGGGTTTGAGCTTTCAATACTGAAATACTGAATGTATATGGTGTAGTATATCTTAGCTGTTTGTACTTATTGGTTCCTTCTTTTCAGAAGAGACAAGGGAGTACACGTTTTCTTTCATGGTCCTGGTGAAAAGCACATGTACTGCCTGTGTATATACCAATGCCTAAAATAGGTCATTTGCAAATAGAGTCTGTATCTTTAAAAATGTGGGTTGCAGCTTTTTTGAGGCTCTTAATCTGTAATTGATCATAACTTCAGTGCAGTTTATGTACTCTGGTATGGTAATGATTTTCCTTAGGTGCTTAAGAGTATTCTTTCATATGTGTATAATACCCAGAAGATAATTTGTTTTTTTGGTTTTCTTTTTAATTCTAGAGTGAAGAAGATTGCATCATCAAATATAAAGCCAGTAAAATCTGTCCCTCAGAGAAACCAGCTGTTGAGTTGGAAAGAAAACGAAGCAATGATGATTTGAACAACCTGAGAGATTCCTTAGCTACTGTTAGTGATGTGAATATTGATATCTTACCCTCTGAAAGGATGAAGTACAGAAGTGAGAAGTGTGGCAGGGAACATATTCCAGAGAATAGTAAAGCAAAGCGTTCAAATGTTCCAGGAAATTCTAAAATGACACCCAGCATCCCACCAGTTAAGGCAGATGGGCTACAGCAAAGAGCAAAGCAAGCTTTTAAAGCTGAAAATGATGAGACTAGGCAGTCTCCTGTTGATTTTACAGAAGGAGATGGTGACACTTTGAAGCTCGTGCAGCCTGTATCCGAAGACCAGAAGCAAACTGACCTGGTAATGCATTTGTGTTTACTTGAAGCGGACTTTGAAATAGATTTAACTAATGGCCAGCTCTTAAAATTTAGAGAGCTGCTACACGTTTTTCTGTCAAAACAGGATGCTGCTGATGCAATTATTGAGATGCTTAAGTAGTTAGGAGCCTTGGCTTCAGATATGCAAAGGCATCATGGTGACGTTTTAGGCTTGCATCTAGATGATGGAAACTGCTTTTACAAGGAACAATGATTTTATTTTCCAGCTAAGAAGAGAGATAGCAAGAATAGCTTTGCAACTTCTTTGTTCTGTGTTCTGAATAGGCCTGGCTAATCTCAAGTTTGTCTTGGTCTGTATTTTGGTCTACAATGAGATTTTCATATGTACATTTCTAATGAGAAATCAATATTTTTTGTAGACCTTGGATTCTACTGAAAAGCTGCTAGCACCATTTGTTCCTGTTGTAATTCAGGTAAGTGTCCTTCCTTGAACGTTCAGTAGCTTAAATATGCTGGTGCAGCAGGTATTTCTACTGTGTATCAAGAGTTTATTGTGGTTGTAGCTGTGATATGTTAAGGTGAGTGCAGTCCAAATAGTAAAGTGGCCTTTGATTGGTTGGTTGGTTGTTTTTTTTTTTTTATTTAAAGCGTGCATGTTTATATCTGGAAATGGCACACCCACGTTTTTGAAAAATGCTTTTACTTATTAGGATGGTGTCTGTCATGGAGCTTCAGGAGATGCTCAGGAAAAAATTACCTCCCACATGCAGCCTCATAGTTCAGTCAGTGAACCCTCTCTCTCACGGCAGCAATGGCAGAAGAAAAGAGAGCCAGCTGAAGTCTGTTCAGAGAAGGTGCAGGTACTAAAAAAATAATTCCTTTAAAACTCTTGCATTTTTTACTCTTTAGCAATGGGACCTATTTTTAAAAAAAAAGGGTGGACTTCTAATACTGTTCTTGTTTCATGTGTGTCTGTCTAACTTTATTGGTAACAAAATGCAGAACACACAAGGTGTCCTTTAGAAGCAGTTTGTAAATCTCTGAAAACCTCAGTAACCCTCACAGGTGTGAGGTGAGTGTGCCAGATGGGTGCAGGAGAATGCAGTGAACCGTGGGCTTTGCCTCTGCTGTGCTGCAGCAAGTTCCATTAGGACTTCTCACTGTGACTACAAAATATACAGCAGCGCTTCTCCTGATTATTGTGGATAAGACTCCTTTTAGTGGGTAGTAGATTACCAGTACTCTAGAACAGACACATGTAATGGCTGCCCTGAGCTTCTGAGTTCAAACTCAAGAAAGAAGACGTTGGCATGCATATAAGACAGGGTTCCTGTCAATGCTTCCACACTGAACAGAGAGATTTCTTTGGGGAAAGGCAGCAGATACACAAGGCTAGAGAAGAGGGAGGTTGGTAACTGATAGTCTGTGTTTATCTGGGTTTTGCTGTTGGAGGATGGGGACAGTTGTTGCAAAAGTATTGGCTGAAAATGGTCTGGGAGGAGGGGGACAAGATGTAGGGACAGAGAGAAGAGAATTGGATGTAAGCAGAGATGTTGGAGCGGGAGGGATGAAGTTGGGAGATGTGAAGAGATTACAGTAGGATCTAAAACGTTTGGCGTCCAGCCTTACCACACAAGAATGTATTCTAGATTGCAGAGTACTTTCAACTTTTATTTAAAAGGGTATAAATTCTTGCTTGCGTCTCTTTCAAGTTCAGAACAGTTGCTCCTCGGCCTCAACCTTTTCCCTCTGACATGAACAGGAAGACAACACAGAGGTGTGCAGAGCAGCATGGTGCTGAAGCCTCTGAATCTGTAAATAGTGCTGAAACTAGTCAAGCTGCCATTTCAAAGGTTAGTGACAAAAACTGTCAGCTTATTTTTGTTTTTCCTTCTGAGCAGTTTCTTCTCTGACTGTATGCACAGGGGTTAAAGAAATGTATAGTAGCTCCCTGCCTAATGGAAGTCTGTCAAGCCCCTGGTCAGTGCAGGATGAGAATCTGCCTTGCTAAGCTGTGAAGGTCAAAAGCTTCTTTTCTAGAGTGCGTGTTAGTCTCATTGACCAAGACTGTTTTGTAATAAATATTTGTTAGATGATCAGAAAGTCTGCTCTAATAGCTCTCTCTTCCATATCAGATGAAAAGGATTTTTTTGCTTTATAGGTGATTAGATAACAAAAACTATTATGATGATTGCTAGTTTATGTCAAATAAACTTCTTTTGAAGGAGCGGCCTTTGTCAGCAAGAGAGCGAAGAAGGCTAAAGCAGTCTCAGCAGGAGATGTTTCCCTCTGGTAACTTCTATGTTTGCTTGCTAACATTTTACATCTAAATTGGCTAATAACTTTTTTTGTGAAGAAGTTAGATGTTGTTGTCTGCTCTTTGTTACCATCTTCAGAATGATGCCCTAAGTGTCTAGGCATCTAGTTCTGTGTTAAATAAAAATTTCTATTAACATAACTGTTTTTTTGCTTCTGAGTTGCATTCAGTTGTGTTTATTGGTGACAGCTTGTCTTTGAAGTGTATGTGAAGTGCAAAACATACACCTTTCAGATAGAAGCTTCACTGTTTTCTCTTAGAATACCTACCTGCTTGCCTGTCTTCTGCCAGGTGATAGACTTTTTCTTGCATGAGCATGAAACTAACTCAAAATACATGCAGCTAAGTTGTAAATATTGTAAAAATGTCATCCTTCCAGTGGTTCCAGCAAGACCAACGTCAAATAGTGCAGTAGTTGAAGGAAAATCACATATGGAAACTCACAGTAAAGTTGCTCAGTCTTCACCAGATCCCAGTATTTCTCAGGTAAACTGGGGTCATCTGCTTTTCAAATATTTAAATGCAGGCACAATTTGGGAAGAAAATGATATTCCAATGAAAGAAAGAAATCTTATGTATGGAAGAAACTCTCAGTAAGAGTGCACAGTTCTCTGTAAATACTGCTTTAGAAGTCCTGGGGTAGAGTACAGATCCAGCTTTTTTGTTTGGCTAGATCAATGTAATATTCCAGGCTCACTGTATATTTTCACTCCCCTTTTTGGGGATAAAAACTAGGGATCTCTTACTGATTGTTATGTACTCTCTAAATTGCAGTGTTTACTTCATTTTAGAGGGGAAAAAATTTATCTTGAACTGTGCTTTAATAACAGATCAATAGTTTGCTTTAAATTTCTGTGAAGAAGACACTACCTTTAACCTGGTACATGTAATTTTGCTTTGATAGTGGTGTTTAGACACTTATTCTTTTTAATATGAAGTGCATACACTTATGTGCTGGCAATAAAGAATAGTTGCTAGATGAAAAGTGAATAGTTAAACTGTTAATGTTCTTTTTCATGTCTAATTGAAAATCTTTTTTTAAGGTCTTACACATTCAACAATCTTCTGCAACATCAGGGAACATTAGTACCAATAAATATAGAAGAGTAACAGTGAAGAAACCTTAGTCTGAAATTCAGAGTGTAGGTTCTGTTTTCCTCAGCCCAGCACTTACATGGAAAGTGTTTTGTGTTGTGTGTGTGTGTGTGCGCGCGCGCGCGCTTAACTGGTGTCTAAATGCAAAAACTTCATCTGCATCCAGAGACGGAGATTACATAAGGTTCATGGGCACTAGTTGTATGTGCCTGTGCTGGTGATGGTTTTGCATATTATGCTGTGCACTGAACATAAGACTTCCAGACACAAGTGGTTAAAGTCTCGGTATATTTTTCAGAAATATTGGATATTTACGGAACTGATAAATATTTGTTTAAATGTTATTTTAAAGTGTGTATTAAGGACCAATAGATGAGCTAAGGGCAATGACTTTATAATACAGTTGGCAGAGAACTGACACAGATACAGGATTTCGTTGTTTTTAATAGAGACTTTTGGTGAAGCATTTGTAGTGGTTAAAACTGCATGACTTAGACATAATGCTAGTCACATAAGCATTTATATGTTGATCATCTCCTGCATATTAGTTTGCTTTTAAAACCAATGGTTACACCTTTTAAATATTATCAAGCCGAGTCTGTAAAAATACTTGTTGAAAGTGTTCCAAGTAAGAGCAATAATTCATACCGTATTCATAAATCACTTTCAGCTATTAGAATTTTTTTTCATTTATTCCCTCTTCACTTAGAGAAAGAGAGAAACCCATTGCCTGTCTGATGATGAGTTAAGCTCTTCCACAAGCTCTACAGATAAGTCTGATGGTGATTCCAAGGGGAGGTAAGTATTTTGTTCAGTACTGTGCTATATTGGACCTTGACTTAGAGTGGAGAAAAAAAAAAAGGTCAGGAATGGTTTTCACACTTTGTCTCTACTTAGTGAGTGATCAAAGAAGTATGTGATCCATAAAGAAAATTAGCTCCATTTAATTGGTGTCTCTCTGTCACTATAAACTTTCCATACTGAACTTTCTGGGACATGTAATTGTGTACCTCTGTTCTTTGTCAACTGTAGCTTCTCTGGGAACCAGCCTTCCAGTATCAAAGGACATGTACTGTCAGGATGCATTAGAAGCATGAGTTAAAAGGTGCAATATGCTTCCTTTCCACTGTGAATGAGGCTGAATTTACTTCTGATTTTGTCAGTGCAAGCAACTTTTCAAAAAACAGTATTTGTTGGATTACCCCAGGTACAGCTATGCAGGTAGCAGCAGCTGGTAGGATTGTGACTTGTTGCTGGGTGAATGGGCTCTGGGTGAAACACTGCTAGCATTGCTATAGGCAAAACTGCACCACAAGAAGTAATTTAACCTGGAATACTTAGCCAGACCTCACTGAACTTACTGAAAGTCCTCTGAAGGCAGGGGGGAAGTTGCATTGTGAATAGTGACCGAGTTGCATCTTATTTCTCTAGCAGAAAAAGCAGCATGAATGAAATGAGTGACTTGGTGCAGCTAATGACATGGACACTGAAAATGGACTCTAAGGAGAACTCTGGATACTGTGTAACCTCGGCTCCAGCCCCAGAGTTTAAACTTCATAGAAAATATCGAGATACTTTGATTTTGCATGGAAAATCACTTGATGAATCAGAGGAATTAAAATTTGAAGAGCTTTCTTCAGGTCTGTTGCTCTGTTATTGCTTTAAATGAATGGCTGTCAGCTGCTAATAACCAAAGAAAACTTGCTAGTGGGCAACAGAAGGCAATCCATTCTTTTATTTCTTCTCAAGTCTCAGCAGTGCCTACAGAATTAAACATCTCTTTAAATAATCGTATGCAAAACTGCTCTAGTTGTGGTTTATTTGCCAGTTAAAGGAATATGTGATCGATCAATTATTGATGAAGAGAGAAAGCTGGTCTGCCATATGATTTTTTTTCCCCATGTGACTTATACTAAGAAGTTTCCAAAATGAACAGTTGGAGTTGAGTATTTTGGAGTAAGATTTTTAAGACGTTCAAATGATTTGATAGCTTCAAATTAAAATGTGAAGGCTTTGTGAATTGTGGATAAAGCTGGAACTGTACACAAAGCATTAAACACAGTGGGGGTTTGTATGAGTGTACAAGTTCATCCTTATTGCAGAATTTGGGCAAGCTTATGTTTTCCTACTGATAGAGGTGCAAGAATTGAGTCAATTTTCATATTTAAGGTCTGGTTTAGACCTTAAGTCTGAAAAGTAAGAAAAAATTGTATTTGTTATAACTGCTCTTACTGTGCAATAGGAACAGGTGAAAGAGCTGAGGGAAGGTTTTTGAAGTCTCAGACCTTCTTGTGCTTATTGTTTTAAATGATGAGGATTTTACTTGTAATTAGACTGGCAAAGGTATAGGAGAACACTGGATTTTACTCTAAGTTGTTTCTGCATGGCTAAAGTAAAACATGTTGAAAGACCTTTTCTCTAAGGAGGTGTGGCAGAATGTTGAAGGTACCAATTTCAGTAAGGGTTTCTTTTGTGTTTGTTTGTTTTTTTTTTTTCCCCCCCCTGTTTTTCTCACTCCTATAAGTATTGTACAGTGAGATCCTCCAGCTGTTTACTTAGTACCATTTGGGACGTCAGGCCTACTGCATTTCCAAGATGAAACTTATTTTAATTCCATCAGATATTTTATTTTCAGGTGATCCACCTATGAAAGGAGCATATTAAAAGAGGAAGCTAGTGTTCTCAGTTCAGTTCCTAGTGGTGGCCTCCCCTTATGAAATTACTCTTTTTGGCAGCTTCAGCTCAGGAGCAAAAGGTTCAAAGGCTGTTGGGACAAACAGGCAGATGGTAGAAATGCTGCCATTGGTGTTTTACAGTGATTATACTATTTTTACATTTGCTTTAAGTAGGAGTGATTGAATTATGAAAATATCTGTGTGGTGGCTTATTATTAGAGAATAGTGCTTTTCCTCCAAGTAATATTTGAAATACAGTATACAGGAACCACCTGGAGCAAAGTTACAAGGACCTAATTGTGAAAACTGTCTGCTTTGGATTTGTACTGTCCAGTGTCTTAAGAATTAACATCTGAGTGCATCCATTCACCACCTTTACTGGCTGCTGTTGGTAGCCAGTGCAGATAAACAGTATTTCATGGAAATGGTCAGCTGGAACCTTCGTAATACAGTTGTCCCACATTTTTCTTCTGCATAGAGTATGAAAATTAACTATACTGAAAGGAATTAAACCTGTATTGTTTTTTTTTTGTTTTGTTTTGTTTTTCTAATAGAGATGTTATCAGTTCCTGACAAGATCGGGAGAATGGTTGAAATCCTGAGATCTGATGTGGTGCAAGGATTGGGAGTGAAACTTCTCGAGAAGGTGTACAGCATCATGGAAGAAGATGATGAAGTGAAAAGAGAGGTGAATGTTTTTCACAATAAATTTAATTTCTTTATTAGCTTAGATAAATTAACAGGGTTTTAACTTTCCTCCCCCCTTTTATTTTGAATACTGATATAGTATACCTTGATTCCAAAAAGTGTTTATGTAGTCACTGGCAGGCAAGCACCTAAATATGTTGTCATTTTCAATCTTAAAAGGTTTGATTCTGAATGTAGACCATGTTGAACTACAGTTCAACTTTCTTCAGAAAGCATAGGAGCCTGAGAATTATACTGTGGTACTCAAGCTTGTGGAAGATGCAAGGGGTATGAATCATTTTACTCTGTGGTGTTTCTCCAATAAGAATTTCTTTTGACCCATAATTTTTTGCCTGCACGTTACTTGCCTCATGCCCCTGAAATGCTGGGGTCTGAACCCCGAGCCCCAAATTAAGGTTGACATATGGGTGATTCCCACAGCCCTTCATACAGAGGTGGTGAGTTTGCCTTATAGCTTCCCCCCAGGGTGCGGCCGGCCCTGCAGGGAGAGCCAGAAGGGAAATGAGCCCCAGGGGTCCCGCATTGAGTTGACAAAGGTCAGGTGTCTGCTTGGGGATAAAAGCTGGGACCACTGGCAGGGAGTCAGGAGTGTCTGTCTGTGGAGTGCACTCCCCAGAGCTTCCTGGTTCAGGGCAGACCTCCTGACTCTCCCTGGAGCTGGGCCCTGGTCTGTTCAGGCCTGTGCGAACGCGGGTCGATCGGGTGAGAGCTGCCATGTGGGCACCTTTTTCTTATGTATTTAACTGGGTGGTCTGGCTGTTTCCCATGCCAACTGTGGGATCCCTCGGTTCACTGTTTGTACCACCTGTTGTGGGCCGGGTCATGTCGTTTGTGGGATCATTGGGGGTGGTGTCAATCATGTATGAGCTTGTTGACCTGTTTGTACCCCTGGCGGTCATTCATATAGTAACATTTCTGTCTACAATACAGTCTATATATTGGCTCATCTCCCTGCTGGTGTTATCATTTTTGTTGGGCCTGGTCATTGGCAAAACATGCCCCTTACGTTCAGAAGTGGGAACCATTTTACTGCCTGTTCCCAGTAGAGGTGAGTGGGCAACACCTCCAGCCCTTGCGATTCAACCCGTGTTTACAAAGGAAATACTGCATGGGCAAGTGTAGTCTGTGAAGATCTGATTTACATTTGAACTTGTCAGGTAGGATTTGGAACTCTCTTGTCTTCAGACAACAAGGACTCTTCTATTTCTCTTCCCTCCCATCTACGTTGTCAAACTTCACATACTGCTTTCAGCTGAGTGCTTTGGGGTTTTTTTTTGTGTGTTAGTATTTCAGTAGTTCCTGCTCTTTTCTAAATGTCAATACATTTTGTGGGTTTTCTTTCTTTTGTGTTCTGAACAGCTGCAGTTGCGGGAGCATATGGGAGACAAGTATGCAAGTTACAGTGCGAAGGCACGGCACCTGAAATTCCTTGAAGAAAATGTGAAGTTCTGACCAGAACTTTTTCCTTGAAGGGAAGGACTGTTTTATAGCTCATTTGATAGACCGGACTGGCTTACAAAGCACATTTATCCATTGACCTCCTTTGCTGGAACAAGAAGGTGAACTTGCAAAAATAGTATGTAGTAATATCTTTCATGTTACAATGTGAACCAGGTTATCACTTTCTCAGAAGAGAAGCTGTTTAGATTTTATTATCTTAATGAAACTTTTTATAGATGCAAAGAGTGATGGTTACCATGTTTTGTATACAAAGGAGTATAAAAAAAGAAAAAAGTTTTGGTTTGAATTTGTCATAGGGATAGGTTTTGGGTGTGGTCATATACAAAATGTGGTAACAAAATCTATGCCAAGGCTAAAGTATGATAGGCTATAAGCTATTACAGCAAGTAGTTGAGAAAACTTAGCAGGGAGAAACAATTACTAATTTTTGTAGCACCAAAGGCCCTCCGGGTTCTGTAAATTGCCAAGTTAAAGTGCTTAAAGGGGGTGGCTGTCTAGCTTTTAAGCAGAGCCTTTGCTTTTGTGTTTTATTGCTACAGCAATCACCAGGGTGGTACAAAGTATTCAGTAACTGGATAAACTAAGACTGAAGATGTTTGAAAGGAGCACAGCCATGGTTACCATGGTCCCAGCTGGAGAAATCCCTTTGCCTTACAAATACTAATTCCTTGTAGGACTGAAAGTGCCCAAGACCAGTGTCACTTAAAGAAACAGCTGTCTTAGCTTTTCCCTTTTCCCTTTCTTTGCATCCAGATTGTGTTGCTACACACGCCCAGGCATTGTCATGTACCATCACTACAGAAAAAGCACATGAACTTTGTAAATGATAAAGAAGTCAAAGGGAATTGAATTTGTAAAATAAAATTCTAAATGCACAACCCGTCTCTTTCATACGTCAGCACGTACGAGGGAGACAGATGGGACAGTCAGCAGCAAAAAAGTGCAATATTTACGGATCCTGTGGCCTCTCGTATACTAGATTCTCAAGTTAGAAGGTTTTGGGAGCTGTTGCATTATGCAAAGTCAAGATGTTATTTTCTCTACCGAGGCAAATTTATTTTAAACAAAAAATGCCACTCTGCAATCCCCTATCCTAGAACAATTTCCAGTTCTTGGTGTTCTTCAGAAGGGTGGGCTATGTACTGTTGTACTGTAGTGGTTACAATCTGAATGCTACTGCCAGCTTGTTTTGCATGCAGTTAGAATACTTTAGTAGAAGCCTGGCTGTATAGTATCTTTTAGGCTATGGCAACAGCTTAACTATACTTGACGCAATTTGCCGTGTTTTTTTTATTAAAATACTTGAGTGAGCTGTGACCTCCAGTAGCTTTCTAAAGTTAATCCCTCTGCCACCCCCCCCCGACCCTTCCCAGTGACTTCAGTGAAACTCCAGCCAAAAGTCAGAGAGCCTTCATGCTTTCTGGGGATCTTGGTGTACTGGTGGTACTATGCAAAGGAATAAGGAAAAAAAAAAAAAAAACAAACACTAAGCCAAGGAGTATCTCCCAGTGGAAATGCATTTAACAAAATTTAACAAAGTAACGGCATGAAGAAATAATAATTCTTTTTAGCTTTTAGCATGTCTCTTTGGCTTTCTGTCTGCAGGCTTCTTTTCTTCTGTTCCCGACTCTTGGACAGGCAGCCATTTCAGAGGGTTGCGGCGGTACATGGGCCAGGGAGGCAGTGTTAGCTTAGGGAAAAGCAATCAAGTCAGAACACGTAAATCGAGATGCTAGGGAAGTGATTTGTACAGCTTGTTAGCAAAATCACATTCTCTCACTACTCAATTAGTCTTTAAAAAGTTCCTAAAATTTGATACTATAAAGATACATAGTTTACATTGTATACTGCAAAGGAGCCCAGAGCACTGCCAGGAGGACAACGACAGCAACCCACCGCGAAGGAAAAAGGATGCCCCTGGACTGCTGAGGTTGCCCCTCTAACACCTCTATGGGACCTCCCCTTATCTGGCATCAGGATAAGTAACAGCAGCAGCACCGACTCTTGACTCTTGTTTACATCAGGGAAGAAGCGGATGGATGATGATGCAATAGAATTACAGTAGCTTTTCAAAACAGGCTCTGTGTGTGTTAACATGATTTGACCAATCACTACTTCTGTCTGAACGCTTGGAAGGTGTAAGAACTACATGCCCCCATTGGAACACATGGTCTCTACACATCAAAGAACAAATCTGTATTAACAGTCTGAATTACATAGCAAACATTTGTCTGTGCTGACAGCACCTTCATTTAATGATTATTTCAGGCAGGTTAAATAGTGCAAACATCTTCTTGTCTGGGGGAAAAAAAACCAAACAATTCTTACCAGACACGATAGAGCAAATCCAGCCATAACTATGTAGACGGTCCATCTAAACTGTTCAGTGATGTATCCATAGATGAAACCAATTACCTGGAAAAAAAAAAAATTGGGAGGTGGGTAGGAGAAGTTAAGTAGAAAAATGCAGATTTTTCAAAAGCAAAGTTCATACCTCTTTCTAACCTTGTTTTCAAAATTGTAGGCCAATAATGAAAGTAAAAATTCGAAAGAAGAAAAGTCTTAATCTATGACAGTCCCAGATTTTTGTCTAAAGCTTTTAGTGACCCAGTCAAACCAAACAATGGAAAGAAAAACTTGTTTGTAAGATCAGCAAACAAAATAAATTCCTATGTTATCACCTATAGTTCTAGTGTACTTACTGCAGAGACAAGAATGATTCCTTGAAAAATCTGTTCTGCTAATTTTTGGCCCTTGTAGTCCTGTAAAAAAAGATATTTTATTGTCAGTTACCCAAAACACAGACCTACTAGCTAAACTCTTCAGGTAAGAGCCTAGAGTTAACCTAACCACAGCTCCTCAGCTTGTTTTTTTAACTTTTGAACCAGAATGGAATTATTATTCTTAGAGAGGCTGGATTTCAAGTGTAAAAAAAAAAATTAAGATCTTAATTTATTTAACACCTTCCCTAGGGTCTTGTCCACATCATCTAAACATAAAAGCAAACAGAATCAGGATAAGCAACGAAAATCCAAAATGTCATTGCAGTGAGTTGAACGTGGCCATGTAAAAGGCTGCACGCCCCGGGAGCGTGCGTTTGGGAGGACAGAGGCGGAACGGTACGCGTAGCACCGGCACTTGATCCCTGTCCCCTCCGCCCACATGCAGCTCGCCCGGGCGGCGGGTCCCTGGCGCGGCTGGACGCTGCTGCCTTTCGCAGCACGTTCAAGCTCGACTTAGCAGAGGAGGAATAACGGCACTGACGCGGGGTAGCGCCCGGGGCCGCAGCACCGCGCACGGG